AATGGACCAATTGCCGCGGACAACACCATTTTAACGTTACAACAGCCACTCGCCTTAGGAGTTTCTTTTCTTCGCCCTTACACTTACCATATTCCAGTCTGGCTCTACAAGATCCATCCCATAATATGCCATGAAACTAGCAAATCCTTCCTTCAGCCATACATCCTCCCACCACCAATGCGTTGCTAAGTTACCGAACCACTGCAGAAACAAGTTGAACAGATGTCATTATGTTTTCGGGCAGTGTGTGATATTTATAACCAGCATTTCATGGGTATTTTGTTTGCATTGACGTAATCTAATCGAGAGTGAGTTGTAAGCAAACTGCGTGAATAAAACTATTCATTCTAGAAAACAAACCTGGTGAGCTAACTCATGGGCTACTAATTCAGCAGTGCGACGTTTCTTGAAAACAGTCGATGATGAGTCGGATAGATACGAAGCCTCTCTATAATTTATGAGTCCCCAGTTTTCCATTCCACCAGCTCCGTAGTCCGGGGTAACAGCCATGTCTGTATTAAGAAGAAATATTATTTATTATTATTATAATAAAAGGAGCAAACAATCCTCCAAACCAGCATCCGGGATATCACCAATCCCGAGCCCGATAACACGTTTATCAAAATGACCAAGCGTACCTATTTTGGGTAATGGAAAATCTATATCAAAGTAATGCTCATAGTATTCCAATATGGGCAAGGATATGTTCATTCCATAATATACCTCGTGAATGGCGTCTGCACGTGCCCAGGTCCGCACCTGATAAGACAAGAAAACGTACCATTATAATTAGATAGAGAAGTTCAGCGAAACCCCAGTGAATATTTAAACAGCGGTTGGAAGAAACTTTACAAGATAGAAACAAAACACATCTGAACCAAAGGATTATTACTACTGGTCAGCTGAAAATTGAACTGAATGCAGTTTGACATATAACCAGAATTACTAGTATATTATTGACATTACGTATAGATAATGAAGAAGGAAATGGAAGTATATAGAGGTGGTGAACACTGTAATATTAAATATTGTTATGGAATATATTTGGAGAGCACAATGATATAAAAATGTTTCATATTTCAATAAAATATTGTTTTAAAAGAGCACCATTATTGAAACACATGATTTTCTCATCCCCATGGTAACTAATATGCATGCGATTATTTCATCTCTATTCAACATATATTGTGTGTACATTCTATAATAGTATGAAATCTTACACAAGAGTAATGAGACATCAGTTTTACGTTTACAGGATTGTTGTTTATTTTAAAATTGCCTTCATCTAGTTTGGAGACACAACGACACATTTTACACTGGACCAAAACATGTTTTGGAGTGGTGTAAAGCTTTAATTTATGTTCACATAGACACATCTAAATGGATGCATTCACTTCAAGTGTTTATTGGAGGTATGGCTATGTTAATGAGTCCAGTTAATCACTTGCATAGCCTATGTTTACAGAAATTCGTAGTTTATTTAGATGCTGCTGTGATATTCATAGTCACATACATCCATTTTTGCACGACATAATCGACCTGTAAGTTCGAGAAAACGCGTCTTTACCGGAGCGTGACTTTCAAGTAAATAATTCCTATTGTTTAAAAGCGTATTTATAGTATACCTGGCCTTTAAATAGTAAACCTCACTAAAGGCATCGTACATTGTTTCAAGTATATACATTTATTTACAGTATATATTAATTTATTTACATTAATTTTAGTATTTCCTTTTATTTAGTTAGTAATTTCTTTTTTTTTATTACATGTATTTGAATTTATTATATTTTATGTCAAGATCTCAATTGGGATACGATAGCAATAAAGATTTACTTACTTACAACTGTTTACCTAAAATAAATATCGTGTAACTAATAAATTCACATTAACA